TCCAGTCCCATCAATTTGATGCTCGTTTTATAGAAAGGCCATTGAGCAAAATTAATGTACCCAAACAAATAGAGTTTGTCCTTGTAACTGATTCAGAGTATGACAGGAAACAAAAGGGCTGCCTTAATGGCCTCCTCTGGGAAATTTATTTTCAGAACATTGAGTTATTTTCTCCTACTCTAACAGATTAGATTAAAATGTTTTTAAAAAGAAAGAAAGAAAAAATAAAACTTAGTTGTCTGTTTTCATAGAAATCACTTGGAGATCCAGCTTCATTTAAATTCACTTGTTACTGTCTAAGTCAATGTTATAATTGCAGGGTTATTTGACTTCTCTCCATTTTTCATTTTTTTTCTTTCCTTCATGCCACCCCTAGTAGGTTTTACCCTTTCCTCCTTAACCTGAAAGGGAAAATGGAGAGCTACTATATTCCAAAAATGAAGGAGCCTACGCCTTTAAAAAACAAATAAAAAATTTTTAAAAATACTACTCAGGACCAGCAGATGGCATTGCAGATACATCACTAGGCTCCCACATAACTGATCATGGTTCGAGTCCCAGACCTGGTGGCTTGAAACTCATCATGTGTATGTGTGCATGTGCGTGTGTGTGTGTCCACAAAATCCTGGGGAGAGAACAGAGGAGAAGGGATTGCAGTATGGGGGGTGATTTCTCATTTTCCTTCTCACTGTCTCTATCTCTCTCCAGTGAGCACACGTGCCCTAAGGTAAAAACCTTTTTTTAAAAAAAATAGACTGCATTTTGCCATGAAGTAATACTTTGGACTATTATCCAAAACTGTGGTTATTTTTTTCTGCTATACTGAACAGATCGATGATGTTCACTCTGTCATAGGAGAAGAAAACACTGCCTCCCCCACAGTCTCTATGCAGGAAACTTGTTCTGTTCCACGTGATCTGCCAGCAGCCTGCCTGTTCCCATCAGCACCAACTGACCATGAAAACAGTCAGCCCATGGGCTAATCTGTGAGGTAGGCAAGCACAAAAGCAGGTAAGATAGCCAAGAAAACAGGAAAGACAGCAACAGAAGAAGCCAACCAGAGTATTTCGGCCTAGTTTTCCAGGAGATGTGTGCACTCACTAGAGAGAATGAGAGAGTGAGGGAAACTGAGAAATCACCCCCTCGGGGAGGGACAATTACACCACAATCTCTTCTCCATTTCTCACTCCTTTAGGAATTTAGGGCATGCACATGCGTCTACCATATTTCTCAATCTGCTGGGCTGGAAGTTGAACTGTGTACTTGCCCACGTGGGATCCAGTTGCTTAACCACCATACCAGCACTGGCACGCTCACTCGGTATCGTTACATGACCACGTTTTGGGTTTCTTAGTGACTCCTTTTTAGTGATCATCGTAGACTCCCAAACAGCTCTGCCAATAGATACACTGAGACTTCTGATGGGGCCTCTCATCTGGTAATAACATGTAACTGTGATGGGGTTTCGTAATGGGCTAAACGGCCTCGCCCCCCAAAAAAATTCATGTCTACTGAAAACTTCAGAATGAGACTATATTTAGAAACAGGGTCTTCGCAGACGTAATGAGTTAAAATGAGAGCCTACTGGCTTAGGGTAGGCCCCAAAGCCAATGATATTGATCAAGTAGAGAAGAAGGTAGGGGCCTGACCATGTAACCAGGACAGTTGTGGATGGAGCCAAACTATTGATAGTTCCGATAGTTCCATCAAATAACCTCCTGGTCCTGCCAACTGTAGAGAGACTAAAGCAGGTCTCCTGACACCCCAGTCGCTAACCTGTCATTCCTTTTCCCTAC